ATAATATAATAACAGGGAAACCTCCGCAAGGGGTATTTCAGGGACCGATGTAGAGTACCCTTTAGGGAGAAGTGTCCTTCTTGGCAAGCATCCTTATTGGATGGGAGCCTCTGTATGGACGCCTTTAAGATTTCATGTGCTGGGTGGATACATGATCTTTTAATTCTGTCTAAATTTTGAGAGTTCAGATTCTGATCACTTGAGATGGTCCTTCAAATAAACAGCATTCTAGGAACACTCTTATTTTGTGTTCCTAGAGAATGAGACACAGCCATGCAACAGGTTCTGATTTGTATTGCAGGATGGCTGACTTCAGGCTGAAGACCCCGGAGGCAATCACGCTGGCATTTGGAAGGAGCAAGATGAGAAATGCGGAAGAACAGTCCAACTCTCAGGAACTTACCTGAAAAGATACGTGGACGTTTACTGCCTAGTGACACCGTGGATCTCCCTGATTGGACTGTGGGACAGAGGATTTGCCCTATGAACTATTTATTTCCTCCCCCCGCCCCTGGTTAGGTGCCGCAAAGACTGTGTTATGTAGTTGGTGGTTTTCTCATGTATCTTTCTCTAGAGCCATTCATATACGGGTGAAATGAAAGCTTTTGTGCATGTACTTGATACTTACTCTCTAACTCAGACTTTGCTTTTTTGTGAGAATATTATTTCAGTATTTTTATAAACTTTTTTGGGGGGGAGGGGGGTTTAATGAGAAGTGGATCTTGAGGGTTTTTTTGTGTGCCTTTTGGATGGGACCAGGACTTAACATTTTCTTGAGGGACAGGATGCTATTCAGATCCTGGAAGGCAGTGATTCTTCTAAATGACCATCTGATGCAAGGAGAAGCTGTTTACATTGTTTTTTTTTAATCACATGGTTGCTATTAGGATGTGTAATAAGTCACACATTTATATATCACATAAGTCTTACCAATTCTGCATCACTAGGAAGCTCCGACACAGCCATGAAAACTCTAACAAAAAAAAAACTTTCCTAATATTTACAATTGCCATAAATTACGAATATTGTAATTTAAAAATTAACTCTTCTTGTCCTACCTGACTAGGGTTAGTCATCTTTATTAAGACTTCTATTAAAACTGCTATTAAGAAATGTGAACCACAAAAAAAATCAGTTCACATCTTTGGGGATAACATTTAGAAGAAACACAAACCACTCAGTGAAATATAGAACAACCATCAATTTTTAAAAACTCAAAGTAGTTCTAAGCATTTCATTTGTTAAAAGAGAGAATTCTGGGTCGTAAAAGAGGCCTAAGAAATTACCATCCATAATTAAAGAGCGTCATAGGAAGCAAATCACAATCCAGCTTTGATGAACAACATTTCATTTACAATTTTAGTGTCAACATTTTATCTATCTTTTTATATATCTTTGACCCAAAATAACTCTACGTGGGCCTGTTTGTTACATGACGAGAGGAGAAAGCACTTGGTTTAAGATGTTCAAAAGTAGAGATGGGATTGAGCCTGGGGATGAGGGCAATGACCTGCTACCAAGTGATCAGTTAGAAACTGTACCTACAGAGGTTCACTGGTCTACGTGTGGGAGTTTAAGTGTATATATAGTCCATGTAAGGTTGAATTCATTTCTATTTGGGGCAGTCACTTCAGTAAAAAATTGCCTTTCTTCTCTTTTCCCATCAGGTCATTGAGGACAGTTCTGCTCAGCAAACATTTGTTGAGCACCTGCTCTAGGCATTTCCTATGCTAGATGCACAGAGACCAGCAATTCTTGGTCTCTACCCTCAGAAGCTGAGAGCCTATGGGCATTAAGGCAAGGTGGTTGCTTAAAATACAGTTTCCAATTTGCTAGAACTGGCATAATTGTGCAATTCGGAGATGGATTTGCAGATATTGAAAATTAAACGAAGTGATTAGTTGAAGGAGCCGTGACTAAGCCAAGTAATAAGAGAATTCACCCTATGGAAACACCTCAGAAGGTAAACAGCTACCCCCAAGTGTTGGTTTTATGTATATATGCTATCTATTCTTATTCATAAATGCAATGAAATACATGCTAACAAAATTAAAAACAGAAAATGGCAGTTTAAGTACAAGCAACCTTTCTTGTGTTATTGTTGTTTTTTTTAATTTAAGAAAATTCAGGAAGAAACTTGTTACTAAATGTTAGACTCTTCTTTTTCTTTTCAGAGCAATTATATTCTTGCCACTCAGTATGGGCTACTTTTGAGTAAAAAACAAACACAAACAAAATAAAATAAAACAAACATATGTGTGTACATATGTATAAACTATGTGTGTATGTATATAAATATGTACATACACTATACTATTTGTAGAAATTTGAGTCCATAATGAGCAACTTAATAATTATGATTATATCATTTACTCACAACCAATGGCAATTGTGATGTTTCCAATCTATCAATGTCTCATAATCAGCAAAATAAACAAAATAGGCAAACCCATGGTGGAGCAGAAGGATATTCCTTCAGACCTTTCTTTTGTGGTTTTGGTGATCATGGTCACCTTTTAGGTGGAAAGAAAAAACAAAACTCTTAAACAGCGAATATTATTAGGTACCAGGAGAGGATATGCTAGATGATACAACTGAGTCTTCATTGAAGGACATACAAATTGGGTTGAGGCATTTTTATATCTGCCTAAACCAGAGGATGGCCCTAATGGTATTTGAACCATTTAGGTTGAGTGGCTGCTTTTTAGAGCAATAATGTCCCCAGATTTCTATGGTAACAGAGTCTCTCCAAAAGTCAGAGGGGTTTGGTATTTAATAATGCAGGACTCCTACAGCAGAGAACTGTTATTAATGGTAGGAGCGTAATATTCCTAAGATAAACACATTGATTTTGCCAAAATATATAAGACTCTAAACCAGCGGTCGCCAACCGGTGGTCCGTGGACCACTAGTGGTCTGTGAGGTCTGAAAAGTTGGCGGCTGCTGCTTTAAACGACTGAGGAGGTAATTTCAGTCAAATGAGATTACAATATACCTTTGGTATGCAATCCACAACCAGCTTTAAATCCCATCTTTCTCCCTTAGAGTCATGAGATCCTATTTGAGCCTCACTTTCATTATTTGAAAAAGAGAGTTTTCACCACCCTTCCTCAACTACCTCATAGAGTTGTTATAAAGATCAAGTCAAATAATATTTGTAAAAATACACTGTAAAGACCTTTTAAATTAGCAAATACTATTTTTCAATTAAGCAGGGTTCTCTAAAATTGTCTTCAAGATCTCGGACTCTATGTGATACAGGCTGTGTACTTTGGAGGCTCTAAATACATCATTTAACTAAATTTTGTGTCACCAGACCGACATGGCTTAGTGGTTGAGCTTCAACCTATAAACCAGGAAGTCATGATTTGATTCCATGGCCAGGGCACTTGACGGGCATGGTGGGGGGCAGAAGGCAGCCAATCAATGATTCTCTCTCATCATTGATGCTTCTGTCTCTTCCTCTCCCTCTCTGAAATCAATAAAATATATATTAAAAAAACAACTAACTTTTATGTCATTTATACTTCTTTGCTTATCCAAGCAAAGAAGTATAAATGAAAAAGATTCAAAGTTTTTCTTATTACTGGCACTGTGAGTGTGTAGAGTTTTTGTTCATTTTCTAAGATCAGTTATTCTTGCTCTGTTTGAAAATAAGTAGGCAAGATAAAGAAACCAAATGGGTAAAATGTAAATGAGTTTAGGGAAAAATAGGGCAAAATATAAACCTGGTTAAGAGGCTAGCTCTCAAAAGAACTACAGGGAGACAAGAAGGAAACAAAAACTAACTTTTAAAATAAAAAGTATGCCCGGTGGGCATGGTTCAGTGGTTGACCATAGACCTGTGAACCAGGAAGTCACAGTTTGATTCCTGGTCAGGGCACATGCTGAGGCTGTGGGCTTGATCCCCAGTGTGGGCGTACAGGCAGCCAATCAATGATCCTCTCATATTGATGTTTCTCTCTCTCTCTCCCTCTCCCTTCCTCTCTGAAATCAATAAAAATGTATTTAATAAAATAAAATACAAAGTACATCATTTACTTTCCAACCATTCATTCGAAGTGGTGATGATAGGAAGCTACTTGGAATTTAACACTCCTCAGGAAATACCTTTCTCCAGCTGCATCCAAAACCTGCCTGCTGAAGTCTAGAGAGTACTTGGACCTCAAACCAAAATATTTACTTAATTTTCTTTTTAAAATGTTAATGGCGAGCACGTTGGCATTCACATTCAGTGACTTGCAGTTTATATATACTAGCATAAGGAAAGCATGACCACGGCAGCTGGCCTAAGTCCTTCAAAAATAAATTGTCATAAAAAACAGAAAAAGGAGGGGGAGAACAGTTTTGGATCAGATAAAACACATGAAGCAAATGAAACACAACCCACCAAATGCAATGTTGTAAACCTTGATTGGACTCTGGATCCAAAAATAAATAAAGCAGATGTTTTCAGGAAGCAACCGGGGAATATGGACCTTATATTAAACGATGTATTGAGTGAATGCTCATTCACTTCAGTTGATAGTGATTTTAGGGATTTCAGGAGAATGTCTTTATATTTAGAAGATGCCTGTTGATGTAGTTAGGGATAAAGAATCAATATCTGAAATTTGCTTTCAAATTGTTAAGTCGAAAAAAAAGTTTTTGCATAAAGAGATACAGCAAATGTGGCAAGATGGTAACAATTGTTGAATCTAGGCACATGTATATGCATTGTACTATTTTTTAAACTTTTCTGAAGGTTTGTAGTTTTAAAAAAAGTTGGGCTAAATGGTATGGACCCTCTTAGAGTCTGTGTCACAGAGGAACAAATTAAGGAAAGGTGAACAAGGGTGACAAATGCTTCCTTGTAGCCAATTCCCAAGGAAGGGAATGACTGCAGAGAAATGCAGTCACACTTAAATAATGACCTATGGCCTAGCCGCTTTGGCTCAGTGGATAGAGCGTCGGCCTGCAGACTGAAGGGTTC